CGAAAAAAGGATCAGAATATTGATCAAACGGCCCAGTAATCTGACCTTAGACCGATCGATTTTTTATTTCTCTTTTTTGGCCTTCTGTTATTTTTCTGTGAAGGCCTGGTTACCGCGAGAGATAAAGACAGAGATGAAAAGAAAGAGTTAACTCTGAAGAAGTCACAAGGCATTTTTTTGCATTACGAACGAGATAAGGTCAAACACGGGTTGTGCAACGGACCGTAGATAGACCAAAATACTCTGCAGCTACATTAACAGTAGGCCAAATAACAAAAGGACGGCCTCCGTGTTGGAAGGCGAAGACAACGAGGACAAAAGTGAAAGCATAAGCCATCTACTGCGTCCGTTTCCCCATATGGAGTGGTCCTTGACTAGCTGGCCTGCTTACTTAAACAAACAGCGCAGTAAATTAAAACCTCCTGTGTTTAAGGAATATAAATCTCCGGGTCCGGAATAAATACCGGCAGGAGTTCTGAAGGAGCTTCCTTGCAACTTTTTGTTGGACCGCTTTCGGCTATTTATCAGTCGCTCTTTGCTCGAGGCGTCCTCTCTTTCGATGCGAACGTGACAAATATGTACCTCTTTCTCAAGTATGGGTTTCGAACAAGTGCTAGCAAATATCGGCCAGTGAGTATGACCTGCATTTTTTGCAAACTTATGGAAAGCATTATTAGAAAACTGCTTTGAAGTTCCTCAAAATAGGGTTTCTTTGACAGCGTTCAATATGGCTTTCGAAAAATCCGCTCTTGTTTAACCGACACGCTTTATTTAATTGAGGCCATAATACAGCCAGGTGTCTAGAGAGTTGGCCGTACTAAGGCCTCCCCTTGCTGTCGTGGGTTCGAATCCCACAGAGACACCGAGTTCTCCACAGTTTGATCAAAGGTAATTATTTGAAATCTGCAATAACATCTATGAATACCGTGACCCTGTTATACATCTGGTGGATTCTAGATGTACAACTTAGGAAATCCTGCTTAGGCAGTCAGCTTACTGTATTAGATTCACTGGATTCCAGACAGTGCAGTAGGTTGGGCGGGTAAACTTGGCCAAATGTGATTAAACTCGCGTCGTCCGGAGGGAACTCGTAACTCAGGTGGTTAGAGCGTTGGCTGTACTAAAACCTTCCCTTGCTGTCGTGGGTTCGAATCCCACGGAGGCGCCGACATCTTCACAGTCGGGGTTAAGTGAATTATTTGAAATCTGTCATAACACCTATAAGCCTTTTGAGTTCTCATCTCTAACTAAACTAAACATTCCGTGTATACCTGATATCACTTGCTTCAGCTTGTGAAAGGGAGAACTGCCAATGACCTCACTCAAGAAGGATGCATGCGCAAAGTAATAGTTAGCCTCAACATGAGTCAACGGAGTGCCCGATTAGGCAATGGTAAGATCATCCCGCCAGCGTTGGTAAGCACTGTTATGGACCGAGTGATGATAAACTGCATGGCGTCATAAAGTGCGCACAGCCGACAGAGACCTCGCTTCCAAAATCGACTATGCTGTTTCCCAACAGGCTTAGCCTTAAGGCGCAGGAGTTTCTTAGAGACCAAGCCCACCCTTGGCCATACTCAGAGCAAAAATGGACAGCTCCACGAGGCAAACTTCTAATTAGTCTGATATCGACCTCTTTCGGAGCCCATGTTACTTACAGTACGCAGAGGATCAGCTACCGAATATTAATGAGGGCGTCCGCATGTGCAAGACTGGACTCGTTTTCGGGGGATCTTCGTCTCCGTAACATTTGCATTGAATAGCACAAGACGCAGTCTAAGTCAACAGAGGAATGGTCGCGTCAGAACACCAAATAATTTGTTCCTTGGCCGTGAAGCAGTGTGGTTTCCTGACGGTATACAGGTCAACTTATCAAATCCCACAGGTGGCCCAAAATCAGGAAGTACCGACAAAGATTCCTGACTGTAACAATTCATCAGTAAACTGCCCACGTAAATAACTGATAACTAATGTGTTTCTCGAAGAGAATATCACCTTTCTAACCACAACCAAATTAACTTATAGGGAAAAGTGTCTGGATCTTGTCCTTCAAAACAGCCTCATTAACGCTGACGAATAGCACAGCTGCTGCTTTGAGAATACTGCTTATACGGCCGGTAAATGGGGACGACTGAGGTTTGGCTGAATTTCTGAGGAAGACATTTTGCTATCACGAGAATTGAATTGTCGTTATTAAACTGGAAAGAAGTTCTTACCGGATCTCTGGATGTCAAGTGCAGCCCTAATAAAGGAGTTAATAGTAATTTTCTGCATCGAAACCGTCTGACAAAAAGAGCTCAAAGGCAACTCGTCCAGTCTAGTTAACGCGAGTGAAGAAGCTAGAGAAGAACAGAAAGAGTAGAAATTTGAGGTGTGTAACCACAAAACAATTTTCTTGCATTACAAACAGTTAGGGAGAAAGCCAAACGAGCTAAGGTCAAGTAATACGGTAGGAGTATAAAATACGGTTTGTAGAACGGATCGCTGATAAGCCAAAGGTGCTCTGCGTCTATACCAACTGTCGGTCAAGTAACAAATGGACGGTCGTGACTTTGGAAGGAGAAGAATACGGGGACATTGCCGAAAATAATGACAAGGCAGAAAGCATAAGTCTTTTATCGCACGCATTTCCCCAGTTGAAGTGGTCTTTGACCAGGCCAACCTCTCTACTGGAACAAACGGCGCAGCCCAGGTTAGCAAATTTAGAAGATCGGGGTCGATCATCTAAGAAATATGAAAGGCAAATTTATAGAAAGCTATATCTGAAAACTGCTATGAAGTTCCTCAAAATAGGGTTTCTTTGACAGCGTTCAATATGGCTTTCGAAAAAGCTGCTATTTTAAACCGATACGCTTTATTTCATAGAGATATGGTCCTGCTCTCTAGATGCGGACGCGACAGTCGATGTCATTTTAATTTGCTTCAAGGAAGCCTCCCGTAGGTTTCCTCACCACTGTTTAGCCTACAATGTCCGACAGTCTGGTTTAAAGAGGAACCTAGTAGATGGATAGAGGACATTTTGATCTGTCAAACGCAGTTTGTGCGCATTAGTATCATGTACCTAATACCAATACTAATTTTAAGCGGGGCAGCTCGACGCCCTATACTCGCGCGATTATTGTATTTAATCCATCCCATTGATTAAAAGACTCTAAATTCCCCCAAAGAAGCCATGTCTGTCAATGACCCCAACCTATGAAGAGTGACTTAATGCAAACCTAGTGAACGAACTCTATAAGAAGGGCTTAAACACCCATATGAATTTTCCGATAGATGGCTGGCGAGATTTAGCCTTGGGAAATGCGTCACACTATCGACCAAAACCAATAAGGGGATAGCAAATGGAGATAGATAGATAGATAGATAATTTTTATTAAAGACCCGTCGGGGTCCCATCAAAGCAAGTTAAAATAAATTTGCATGCGAGTTTTAGACGAGGTAGGCCGAATCTTTACAAAATGCAATTCCTAGTTTTAAATTAGAAGTCCATTGAGAAACATGATGATTGAGGGGTGAAAAAAAACTCCTTAGAAAAAGTTAAAAATGATTGGATTAATTTTACAGGAGAAAAAAAAACCTCTTTAAAAATAATAACAGAAAAAAGCGAGCAGGACTGGCCTGCAGGTGGCGGTATATAACGGAATGTTGTCGGTCATCGTCAGGGTATCAATAAATGTCCGCCTTGATGGGTACGAATGTGGGTCAGACAGGACTGGCTTGCAAATGGCATTGTATACGGGATTCACAATTGAGATCGTCTGGGCCTGATTAATACGCCGCGTCAAAGAGGCCAGACGAGAGGAACCGAGATGCGATCGGCCACAGCACGCTTCGAGCTCAGCCGAGCAGTGAGGAAGGGAGGTACGACCGAACTACTAGTAAACAATGAAGACTGAGGGTCCCGCCGTGAGAGTCGACAGACCGCATGAGGTCGGAATGATGGCGATGACATCAAAAACCGCGAAAATTGTCGCTATGGGGGGGAAGGATAGCGATGGATTTAGAAACCAATTCAAAACAGGGATTTCTAATGATATAATTAAATGTTACCACTTAATCTGCCATTAAATCCCAGGAGGACCCTTCTCGAAGTCAAGAATCTGAGATGATCACCAATACCTCCTTTGCGGAAGCCGCCTGTCTAATGCAGGTGGGCAAAAAGATATCGCAGTCACCACTTTGCCATCTCTTAAGCCCTCCGCTTACTGCGTCTGAATGGCCAAAACGTCAACTGGTTTTCGTTTTGGCGATAAACTAATTTTAATTTCCGTATACAACGAGCCATTTTAAAAAGCATTTGGAGTCTTCATTGGTTCAAAACTGGAACTTGGGCTTCAGGCCGACTCATCCAGCCAAATTGCAGAAAAAGGTTCACAGGAGGACAACCAAATTTGTGAGGAGCATCAAGGCATTATTCTGCAAATGCAGCTTTGATTCGCTGAACCCGCTCCCTCTTGATTACAGGCTATCGAAAGAGATCTAATTAAGGTCTGCTGGATTATTAGGAATCGGTTGCGCCCCCCACTTCGGCGATTTCTTTACGTTGACTACAATAAAAATCCTACGTGAGAACTCCCTCAAACTTCGAGGGGCCCGATTCCACCTGGATTTTCGTAGACATTCATTTTCACAATGACCTGTCGGTGCCCAGAACGAACTTTCCGAAAAAGAGAAGTTGCTGGACTCAACGAATGAATTTAAATAAAGACTTGTATACATTTACCTGAAAAGTACCGCTTAAAAGGATAGAAAAGCTGTGAAACACCAAACCCTCACCTCGCACATACCTACCGCTAATGTGGACAACCACTAACTTGATCAGAAGAAGAAGCGATCGCTGGAACAATGGCTTTATTCGCCTGACGTTTCGGATTCTCTCTTGAATCCATCCTCAGAGACAGTTGCAGAAAAGGGTGGCTAGTGTACAGGAAGTCGCAGTATTTATAGGATGCGGTCGCCATGCTACCGCATACCTACAGCAATTAACCGTGCTCCCCTCATCAAGGATTGTTGCCCGCTGGTGCGCTAATTGCTTGATGGCCGGCATGCAAGTTGTTAATTCCTGAAAACTCATCACCCGTGTTGGATGCTGGCGTGATGATTGCTCGGCCATCTGGCTCACGTGCTTGCGCGCTGCTCGAGTGGTCAATGGCTTTGGCCAGTCTATGCCTCAGGACAGAATATGGAGTGGGGATGTCGTTGCACTTGTTAATAGACTGAGGTCCCGTGAACCATGATTCTAGTAGCTCCCGGCTCACTCGGTTGTCACCTCTCGCGAGAATTTCGGCCTCATCGAACTTGAATGTGTGGCCGGGTCTCGTCGAATGGGCCGCGACCTGAGAGTTGGCGTCATTTCTCCGTACAGCTGCCACGTGTTCGGCGATTCGCGTCCGGAGCAGTCTTCCAGTTTCTCCGACGAAGTTGCTTTGTCCGCAACTGCACCAGATCCGGTAAACGACTCCAGATGTTTCTTGCCGTGGCAATGGGTCTTTCGGTTTCATCACTTGACGCCTCATGGTGACCTCCAGTCTGTGCGCAACTACAACCCCAAGTGGTACAAGAAGGCGGCTAACGACCTCGGAGACGTTCTTGATGTATGGGATCGCTCGCCAGACTTTGGGGTCGGCGCGATTTTGTCGCTCGTCTCGTTTGCGCAGGCACTGGTTGACGAAGTTGCGCGGGTAACCGTTTACTCGGAAAACCCGTCGAAGATATTGGGATTCGGCAACCTTGTCTTCTGGTTCACTGCAGTGCGTCTCAACACGCCGAAATAGCGTTCTAACGCAACTGCGTTTGTGGCAGATTGGGTGGTTACTGTTGAAGTTCAGAATTTGCGTCGTGTTCGTTATTTTTCTGAACACTTTGGTCTTTAGGCCACCGCAATCTTTGCGACAGACGAGGACATAAAGGAATGCCGGCTGGTTATTCTCTTTCTCCTCCATCGTGAATTGTATGTCCGGGAAGACGCTGTTCAGACGTTCTTTGAACGTTAGCACCTGATCCCGTTCGATGACGACGAAGGTATCGTCCACATACCGAGCCCAGAATTTCGGTCTGTGGTGTTGGAAGACTAGCGACTCCAACTGCTGTAGCACCGCCTCGGCGATGAATCCGGAAATCGGTGAGCCCATTAGTGTTCCCTTCACTTGCTCGTAGATTGTTCCGTCAAACGTGAAGTACGTCCTGAGACAGAACTTTAGGAGCTGAAGGACTTGGGCATGTCCGAGACGATTCTCCGTTTCATCGTATTTGTTTCGTAGGAGTAGTTGGACGGTCTCGATTGCCAGATCCTTGGGGGATAGAAGTAAAAAGGGACGTGACATCAAAATATACCATGACATCATTGGGCAAGAGACTTATTCCTTTAAGCTTCTCCAGGAATTGCGTTGACGAACAGACCGTGGTGTCCGAATCAGTGGTCAGAAATTTGAGGCGCCGATACAGCCATCTTGCCAGTCCGTACGTTGGAGTGTCTTTGAGCGAAACAATGGGCCGGAGAGGAGCGGCCTCCTTGTGCACCTTTGGGAGACCTGACCACACCTTGTAGGTGTAGCCAGGTGTGGCCAAACGCGGACATGGCCACGCCAAATTTGAAGAAATTTTGGAGGACCTCCTAATCTTGCAGGTGACCACTTCTGCATTGCAAAGTGCTAAATTAGTCAAGATATATCCTTTATCACTCATAAAGTACTAGGAATCTTCATATTGTGAGCAGTGGTTATGTCTCGAAATAAGCTGATTAAGGTGCTTTGTTTAATTGGGCCAATGTGACGCCATTGATCTTTTTCTGTGTCTGGGGTAAGCGTTGCGGTTCTCTCGTCCTGGGATTGTTTATGACATATTAACAAGAAATTCGGCGTCTATTTTGTGTCTTATACTTCTTTATTTTCCAAGTTATGCCATTTAGGGTATTCGTTATGCTTATTAAGGTGTAGTAACATATGTATTAGTATAATTTCACTTATGATTTTGCGAACAATGCTGAAAGTACAAATATTTGTTGTCGTTGAGTAGTTATTCGTTGCTATGCAGCGTAAGTATTACGGCTTTCACCGAAGCACTATGTAAAAGCGGCTCTTGCGCCAGAGGCGAGAATATTATGCTGCTATGGAGGAGCAACCCATCGCATCAACGTCTTTGGTTGCAAATGAGTCACCGGAATTGCAAATGCCAGAACTAATGCCGGAAGTTTCAACGGGTAGGAGTTGTATGTGCCTTAATTACTGGAATACATAGAACTGCCTGTAATGGCTGGGACCGTGGACACAGTGGAAGGCAGATGCTTGACGACGGATTTGCGCGAATTTTGTTTGAGGGCAAAATTGTCGTTGACCACAGCAAAGGATTTGGTTTAGGTGCTGCGGCACTATCATCCGGAGCTACCCATTGACCCAAGGACGCTACTACAGACTCCTCGAACTTGCGTTAGCAAATCCCTGAAGAGAGGACAATACGTTCACCTGGGTCTCTAACGTGGCCTCCTTGACGAATTGCGCCTTTGCTCACTAACGGGCATTCCTGAAATGCACGTTCAACTGCACATTGACGGAATGAAAGTCTTTAAAGCGTCTGCTCAGTGCTTTTGGCCGATCCTTGCTCGAGTTAACCACCCCGTTGTTGGGCAGGGCTTTGTCGTTGGAGTGTTCTGCGGTTTTGGTAAGCCGGAACCGTTGGAAGACTTTCTGGGCGATTGTGTTAGTGAACTGAAGGGCCTTCTCACCACGGGCCTGCGCGATCCACGATCCAAGGATTTTCTCAGCTGCCCCATAGACTGATGTCTTCAGTGACGACCACTGGTTACTGAATTCTCCGTCGGCTCGTGCCGTAAAACAGGTCCGGATTACTCTGCTTAGGGCCTCGGCAGTGCTGGTTGGCCGGATATTTGCGACATTGAGGCGTCTAGGACGTGGCATTTTTGGTGCGGATGAGAGATGAACTTTCAAGCGTGTACGGACGAGGACATGGTCCGACCCATGGACGTTAGCAGCCTCAGCACCACGCATCGATCTGCTATCGTGAACGCAGCTGCGGAAACTTGAGCTGACTAGTATGTAGTCAATCTGACTGGCCGTGCGACCGTCGTTTGAATACCAGGTCAGCAGATGTTTTTTGCGATGCTGGAAACGTGTTGGTAACAAGCAGTCGGTTTCGATCAGCGAAGTTCAACAATCTCTCACCATATTCACATCGGGAACCAAGCCCAAAGCGGCCAAGAAGATGACTGGTTGTGGGGTCGCCAGGTCCCGTTCGACCATTCCAATCGCCAGCAACAATCAGCAGATGGCGGCGAGGCAGTCTTTCAACTAGCGCTTGCAACTGAGAGTAAAACGCCTCTTTATCGCGCTGTTCGGCAGCCGAAGTTGGTGCGTACACAGCGACGATGGAGATGCTCGTGAAGTGACCCTTCAGTCGCACGTAGGCCATCCGGTCATTTACTAGTTTCCAAGCAAGCAGCGCAAGCTCCGCTTGTTGCGATAGGGCGATCGCCACACCGTGTCGACCAGAGGAATCGCGGGGGCCGCTGTGGTACAGGGCGAAGTGGGATTCGACTCCCGGGATCTTTATTTCATGAGAGCCCGAGTCAGGAAGTCGTACCTCAGACAGACAGCAGACATCAACGTTGTACTGATGAAGGCTGCGTGCGGTCAGACTTTAGGTACCAGGGTCAAGGAACGTTCGTACATTCCAGCATCCAATACCGAGAGTCCGTCCACGATTGAGTAGTCTAGCTCGCATGCTATTCGCCCGCACCACAGGACTAGGGTTGCGGAGCGCGTCGGTTCCCGCGGACGCCGTAGCATGGGTTGTAGTACTGTGATCGGACATGTTGCATGAGGTTTTTTGGGAATTTCGAATACGGTCGGGTCCCCAACAGCCGCTCAAATTGTTTGTTCGAGGTTGTCACCTCTAGTAGATGTGCTAACTCATGAAATGTCAACCAAAATTTCGAAATGCGTTCTCGTTTCGAAAAGATAAATTAAGTAGTGTTGTAAAACTAATCATGGTGCAGCATAAATCTATACTGATCCAGTTACCTCAGGCTGTCGGATATTGAAAGAACTTATTTTCGGCTGCATGCAAGGTCTTCACTCTGCAAAAAATGACTACATAATTAGTACGCAATTTTCTCATTGAATTCCGATGCCTTTGAAAATTCAATTATATTTCAGGGAAAACATGCGTAAAAATATTCATTCTTTTACTTATTCGGTAGAAAGTCACGTCTTCTTCAAATTTCATACTCAAAAGAAGTGTATAATTCGGTTTTAAAAAAGTTTATAATTGTGAGATTTTTTAATCCCGTAAAATGGCCGTTCATTAAACGTCATGCATCTACATTTACGAATGTGGCTTGTAAAGTTAACAATATTGCTTAAGAAGGAGACACGATCGCCGGGACAAGAGCTTTATTAGCCTGACGTTTCGGATTCCTACTCGAATCAATCATCAGAGACAAAAGAGCAGAAACGGGTGGTTGTTGCACAAGGGGCTGCGGTATTTATAGGATGCGGCAGACATGCTACCGCATACCTATGAACGTTCACGGCTTCCCCCTTCATCCGGGATTGTCACACTTGGTGTGATCATTGCTTGATGGCCGACATTCGAGTCGATAATTGCTGCAATTTCATCACGTGCGTTGGATGTTGGCGTGATGATTGCTCGACCATCTGACGCGTTGACCCGGGTGTTGGAAGAGTGTTCACCAGTGCGCTCCCCGCGTGGCCAATTACTCCGCCTAGACGAAGTCTCAGCACGCTGTATTGAATGGGAAGATCGTTGCACTTGTTGATGGACTGGGGGCCAGTAAACCATGATTCTAGTAGCTCCCGGCTCACTCGGTTGTCACCTCTTGCGAGAATTTCGGCCTCATCGAATTTAAATGTGTGGCCGGATCTCGTCGAATGAGCCGCAACTTGAGAGCTGGCGTCATTTCTGCGCACCGCTGCCGCGTGTTCGGCCATTCTCGTTCGGAGCTGTCTTCCGATTTCTCCGACGTAGTTGCTTTGTCCGCAACTGCACCAGATCCGATAAACGACTCCAGACGTTTCTAGCCGTGGCAATGGGTCTTTCGGTTTCATGATCAGACGCCTGATGGTTGCCTCCGGTCTGTGTGCCACTCCAACGCCAAGTGGGGCGAGAAGGCGGCCAACAGCTTCCGAAACGTTCTTGACATACGGAAGTGCCCGCCAAGACTTTGTGTCCGTGCGGTTAGGCCTTTCGTCCCTTTTGCGTATGCACCGGTCGACGAAGTTGCGCGGGTAGCCATTGGCTTTGAAGACCCGTCGGAGGTATTGTAGTTCAGCAATTTTGTCTTCCGGCTCACTGCAGTGCGTTTCGACACGCCGAAAGAGCGTCCTTACACAACTGCGTTTGTGGCTGATTGGGTGGTTACTGTTGAAGTTCAGAACTTGCATCGTATTTGTCGCTTTCATGAATACTTTGGTCTTTAGTCCACCACAATCCTTGCGGTATACAAGGGCACCCAGGAAGGCCAGCTGGTTGTTCTCTTCCGCCTCCATCGTAAATTGAATGTCCGGGAAGACGGCGTTGAGATGTTCTTGGAACGTCAACACCTGATTCCGTTCGATGACGACGAAGGTATCATCCACATACCGGGCCCAGAATTTCGGTCTGTGGTGTTCTATTGGCAATATTGCTCAAATCCACTGCTTAATTTTATGAACCTCATATGGTCTCCTCTTAACACCGTAGAGATATGCATGGTTTTCCGTACACAGAAAATATACAGCTTGTAGTTTTGAAACGCTGAATGCAAGTGTAACAGCAGGTCGGGTTCAAACATATTCGGGAATTAGAAAAGTTTTTTTAAAACCGAATGGTACTCTTCTTTTGAGTATGAAATTGGAAGAAGACGTGATTTTCTACCGAATAAGTAAAAGAATGAATATTTTTATGCATGTTTTCCACGAAATGTAATGGAATTTTCAAGGGCATCGAAAATCAATGAGAAAATTGCATACTACATAAGTAGTCATTTTTTGCAGAGTATAGACCTTGCATGCAGCCGAAAATAAGTTCTTTCGAAATCCGACACCCTGAGGCATTTGAATCATTATAGACTGATGCTGCATCATGATTAGTTTTACAACACTACTTAATTTATCTTCTCGAAACGAGAACGCATTATGAAATTTTGGTTGACATTTCATAAGTTAGAACATCTACTGTAAAATCTTACGTTTTAGATACAGTGTATAATTACTTCCGTTGCGCCTGCATTGCGTATGTCTTACGAAAGTTTTTTTTTATGCAGTAACTACCAATGGCCAGTGGATGTGACGTCTCATCCTGGATACGAAGATCGCTGAAACCCCCTTGATCCCGGACAGACTTTGTACGTTTACATTTTTTGACTTACGTATTCAATAAATCGTCCTTCCACAATACCGCCTCCCGACTTTACCATCTTCGGTATCCGCATTTGCCCTGTAGTGGGCCACTTTGCGCCGTAGCCTATCTCGTTTGGGACGTTGAGGTTCGCTGTGACTCGTTTCAGGGTTTTACGTTAGGCGACCGTTGGTCATGGTTGGCGTTTACGGCCAAAAAATCGAGGCCGCGATGAATGGAAAAAAAAACGAGAAAAAGCCCGCGCGCAAAATTTTTTCCAAGGTGCGGCCAAGTGTGGCCAATGTGTTGATGGCCAGACCACAGCCACACCATTTGGCCACACCTGGCCGCAGCATAGCCGAACTTGGCCACACTATATTTGCCTCGGCCAAGTGCGGCCAAGTGCGGCTGGTGCTGGCAGGGATGCCACCATCGAGAGAAAGCCGTAAAATGAACTTTGAAACCTTTATGTTATTTAATAAGCAAGAGCTATAAATTATCGCGCTCAGGCCTTGAAACTCATGCGCAATTTGTCATATTACTTTGGGTCCTCTTAGATTATTTCAGCTCACACTGTTTCTCTGCACACCGCACCAATTTTACTTCGTTAATTGGGTACTAAAATCCTCGAGCCTATTCCCCTCACTAGTCTAAGCAGAATTAAATCGAACTGAGTCAACTGGGAAATCCATTGTCGTTTCCTTAAATATTGATTTAGGCACTGGGGTGGAGTTTGTAACAGAACTGTTGAAAATGCGCGCATGGATCTTTGTTATCCAAAATAAATGAAGAGGCAAACGGCTAGGAAAAAGGTTCGACTTCTCCGCCATCATCAGTGGGTTATGCGACAAGTTCATTAGTAGACACTGTGATTTAACATCCACTTTCACTTGAGCGATGATGTAATAGATAGACGTCTTTAATTTCTATCCAACCTACTGAATAATTCGAGATCATGTCTTGACGGTTTTTTCAGTATTTTGATTGCATTTAGTCGACGATTAATCGCCTTGACTTGTCGTTGCAAACCGTTTTCAGTGAATTTCTCCTATCTTCTATTTTTTTCTCTAGCTGTTTGTTAGCGTTTCCTATTAACAGGAGGGACGACTGGTCATTCTGGTATTTTTTATTGCATGACAACGCAGAAATCGTTTCTACGTTCTCCGGTCTTCATATGGATCCGTGTAGGCAATGTGTCCCAACTGACTATCATCAGTTTACCCCTCATCGTGCTTAAAAAAATGCCTTGCATATAATCCCCTGTCCATGCGTTTACTACTGACACTGAAAAAAGCGATTCATCTCATAAGTTCTTTCCACAGAATGTGCACTGGAAAACCTTTCTTAAATTCTCGAGAATCGAATTCAGTTAGCACTCTGTTTCACTTCAAATATCATTCATCTTTCCATATTATGTGCCAAAAGGAGGCCAAGTGCCAGGTTCATTAGATTCGGTTCAGAAAAACTGGTCACAAACTAAACTGCGTGATTAACCCACTCTACTGCAAGTGCATATAAGTCTTCAACAATAAGAATCAGATTATGGCAAAGCACTTCTTTAATTAAGAGTACAACAGTATATCTGCTGCAATGGGTTGGCTTTCTCGTCTGTAAACACCAGAAAGTGCGAAACAGCTACCAATAACATACTACAAGCTTCCAATCTTCAGTCAATTTCATATGTAGACTCGTGTAAAGACCCACCAGTTGACTGTGTTCCGAAGCCCGGATACCAATAACCGGCGATCAAAATATAGACCAGTTCACATTGGACCGGCAATCCGTCAGTCAAGCAGCGAGTTAATTGAGGCCCATGTTGTTAGACCTTCTCAAAAGTTTAAGAAAAATACTGAGTATGAACCTATGTATTTACTATTCCGGCGACAGTTTTTTTGGAAAACTGACGTCCAGGCAATGCACATTTCAAACTACATAAATCACTATTAATATTCGACTCTCAGACGGGACGTGTTGAAATACCCTAGCAGTAATGTTATGAAGCGGCAGATTATCGGCGAAACACGCGTGTATGTGCTTTTGACGAGTACCTGTGCTGCTAGTATGGTATCCCGTTATACTAATGTAACAAACCAATCACTAAAATTTTAAAAAAATGCTCTTCGGGCACTAAAAGTTTGTAAGGTACGTAACTAACACCATTTGAGAAAAGGCCTTTGAAAAACATGTGCGCATGCCACGCAGAGGCTGATCAATTTTCCATTGCAACTTCACGTGGAGAAACTCATTATTCGACGCCTGTGAATAACTTCTGCAACCTTTTAACGTGATCCGAATGCGGAAATTCGAAATTTAACTACTACTTATTTTAACCTCTAATAACAGGGTTCCTTAACAGTTACACACAAGTTGGCCTGCAGAGCCTACGCGCTATTTGTTTGAACTAATATTATGAGGTCATCAGCAAACTACGCTACCACAAGCTTGAATAGAATAGATTGCGCGCAAACTCCACACGAGAACTCCCAAGGATAGTCTGCAATGCCGACAGTTGCAGTTTGCAGCCAGTGCATTATAGTTGTGGCCATTCCCGTTCGCTTTTATCGTGTCTCCATCAAACATGCGTATGTAGGGAGAACTCTGCCTACATACGCAGTTAAAGGATTTAACAACTGTAGCAATGTCTTAATTAAGACACAATCTTGCCAGTCCCCCAATTCACACGAGAGGATGCGTAAATTTCATCCAGTCAGTCGCACGAAAAAATTTCTGCGCGGGCAGTGTCTGCCAGGACTGCTAAAAAGATTTATCATATAGTGAGTCTAGCCCGCAACCACGCGACCGGTCTAGCCCTTGGCGCCCGAGACGGATATAACTTAAGATCGCACGCGTGGTGTCACATCGATGGTTAGTCCCCTGCACATGTGCTTGCCTTTTGCCCCACATCTCGCCTCATTGAGTTTGCGTTCGCAGGCATGCATCGAGTTCACTGTGCGTAGCTGAAGTCAAGCCGCTCACGTCAGGAGGTCTCGGGCCGGTGGTACCATGGGACGCTGAAGTGTCCTGGAGGTAGCGGTGAGACCTAACGCGTCGGGGAGGTTTGCAACAGCAAGAATCATTTTCTCGCGAAGGCTAAGCACCGTTAACCCTTTAACTTACTAGCTTTGCACAAGCTCGCACGTCAAATTGGCTAGCAGTTCTGAGCGCTTACATGTAATCAAGGGTCGCAAAGATCAAAAGCAGTAGTGGACTTGCCGCAGAAACAGTAAGCATAAGATAGGCTACGGGCGGTAGTTACTGATATTTTTCAACCAATAAGTTCGGTATGCTCAAGGGAGTCAAGAATATGACTCATAACGTTCAAATCGCCATGCACGTTGCTGATGATGTAGATTTTCACGGATCACTGGACGCCTTCTAATATTTTCCGCCCAAGAGTCACCTCGGTAGGCCGAAGAAGCTATTTTGAAGTCCATTCAGGCCTTTTCAACATTAAGCTAGACGAAGAAGTGCAATGGACTTAAAGGTTAGTAGTCAACAGCACGACTGCAAACCTGGGCTTCCGCGCAAACACAACAAGGGTCTTCTTTCAAACGGCTTGATGTGAGTAAACACTTCACATCAATAATTGGTTTTTGAATGGATACATCTGTGGCAAATAGGTTTATTGGTAAAGGTTGGAAGGCGATATCTGTTAGGAACTTTGCGCTAGCATAGGGCGCGTACATATAGTACATAACGAGTCCAATAACATGTCCGATTAATTTCTTTTGCCTACGGAAAATTCATCCTTAGAAATATGCACAGCTAACAACTCTATTGTTGTCAAAGCTGCCTTTTTAACTATGTGTATCTCCCTCGGGACAATATCCATGTCTTAAGAGAAGTAATGGACGGATGAATCTTCAAATCCAGTGACGTCCACTATCGATCCTGTCCTCAATGAGGACGGCGATCGCGAAACCCACAATCACAGAAACTCTAGTTGGCGGTTTATGAACATCTTATAATAAAGTGGACGTAGCAACAGGAGTAGCCATTATCTCACTCCTAGTTAACCCGTTTTCTGTGTTATTGTAGGTGTATATGTCAGTGGACGTCGACGATAATCAGAACGCTAGACGGAACCCTGAGAGAGACATCACAAATTCACGCCACTATCCAATATTTTCGCTCGGCGACCCTCCGCTCTCGCCATATTACGTTATACCGTGTTGTATTGCATGCTGCCTAGGAGGCCGTTGACTTCGATTTCTCTGACAATTATTCGATTGTTACTCGGCTGTAGGCAGGCCAACTCGCCACCAGCATATCAGTTAATGAACTTGGAGAAGGAGCTTGACGAAGTAGCTCTCCTCGAACGGAAAGCCAAACGTCTCACGCACAAGCAATTAGCTTGGCTTGTTAAATTCAACCCGAAATTACATAAACGCCTGCACTCCAAAGGGTTGCTGGCAGTCAAACAGACAGTCAAACTGCCCACTAATCCGATTACGCAACCAAACTGCAAGAGGATTTTAATGCAGTCAGTCGATGTCCCCAGGACACTACATATCGAGGTGACCAGGCTAGACCTAAACAGTCCTCACGGAACATTTTCATTCCGCATTCTTGATTTGCCTCCCAGGCCGGAATATTGATGTCTTTGCCAAGAGGGCATTTACGCTCACTTTAATGACGAAATGACAATTAGCATTAATTCTAAAGGGAAGAAGGCGAAGGACGGTTCGTGTGGTTCACAGGCGTATGATGTTATTAAATGCGAGACGGGTGCTATGCTTATTAACAATTTAAAGACGTCTACGAGATGTGGAACGAATGCGACCGGGTGGACGCTTATGAGCTAGATTCTGCGTTTGCCAAGTGTTTGAAAATATCTCCAAACGCCTTAAGTAAGCGGTGGACTAGGCCAGACTCCACTTTTGATGAGACTGATGGTTAGTCCTTTTACTGTCTTAATGTACGTCTTTTACACAGAACCATTGCCAGGTTCATTAACCCAGCGGATGAGGAATAAATTCAATATGTGTCATTGTTTTTTTTAAATGAAAAACATCATCTCGCAGTTTGAGAGGGAGTTCCTTAAAGGAGGGGAACGGGCTGCATGGACCGTGCGTAACGAATGTATACATTATTAACCGGGTATGCGTACCGCTGTGGTTGCATAACGCCGCTACCCACCTTCTCATTGGTGTTTCCATTGCAGCTAAATCCACAAAATCTGCTATAAACCGATTATGCCAATCGCGACATTTCCACAGCGAGGCGTTGTGGCATATTAGCAAATTAGGCCTTTATTTAATTATCTGATAAAATTTTCTAATTATGAAATTCTAAGGACCGTAAGAACTTTTACCGTACAGTTGCATTCACAGATTAACTAGTGCCGCTTATAAAGTGGATAGCGTCGCCTAATCTCATTACAAGACTTTATGAGCCCTATATGCCCCCTTCATAATAGCTAGGATGTGTAATTTGTGTTGCGCAAAACGTATAGAGCTAGTAGAAATCCCCAATGCAAGTGTAACGGCAACTGACGTCCATAATCATTCATAAGTCGAGATAGTTCTAGAACACCGAAAGATACTCCTTTAACTAGAGAACTTGAAGACACAATTTGCTAACAGATGAGTAAAGGAATATCTTTGCGCATGTGTTCTATAAAATATATCTGGATCAAAAACAGACGGGAATATTTCGTGCCACTTAGGTACCCATTCCTTGTGGAATATTGATTGCCAGCGATCAGTATGCTCATTCGACGTCACTGTAGCACCTTAATTTTGCGAAACAAGATAATTAATATGACACTCCCATCTAGGTAATATTCCCGAATCTAAAACACACCTCAGAATCTCAGTCAACATTTCATGAGGTAACACATATACTGCATGCTCTCCGATAATTTTTCTCCTTAACACTGTTCCACCTAGATAGCACCCGTCTTGACATATATCCGCAGCAAGCCCATCGTGAAATTAAATACGCCTAGCGCACGACCATTCCGGCGCTAATAAACCTTCGGTTCTAAATCCTCAATAAAACATCTGAACTTGATGCCCGAAGGTTCAACTGCATTTCTTTGCATGTTACTCTGCATTCCTTACTCTTTGTCCAGTCTACCGATCATAGATACGCTTTCATTGGATGCATTCGACTTTCTCAGTGCTGAGGATCCGTGGTCGCCGAACGACTGCGTATCCGCCATGTGGGCTGAAGGTATTGCGGTTGACTACACCGCATTATGCCTCCTCTTAGCGCTTTTAAAGTGGCCTACCCACTAATAACCTTGGTGTGCGTTTCGCCCGCGGACATTCCTTCCCAGTGTACCCTTCACTCCTCCCTCACCTGGGCGCTGCCCCCGGCTGCGGTCTCTTATTCGCCGCAAATTCGTAAACTCGGCATTTCTGTCCCCGCCGTACCCCCTAAACCTTCAGTTTGGGGATCAGTAGATGCCCATATTATACTTCTTATTATCATTCATCTGTTATTTCCTACTTTGATTATGATGTTGATCGTTAGCGTGCGCTCCCGACGACCTCCTACTTCCGCAATTTCTCTAATTTATTACTTGTTACAATACACCATTTCAGTACTATAAAGCGGGTAACTGGTCAAACGCTTAATGCTTCCAACCCGCCTTCACGCCGAGCAACATTTTCGAAGCCGTGGCTTCCGACATGCGGCTTGCCGTACTGAGACACATATCTATCCCGCGTTATTACTTTTGGCACGAAAGCCAGCACCGGGAAATACAGCTGCCTCCGTCATAGACCCGTTTCATGCAAGCCCACTTACAGTCTTGCTATATGCTTAGTCGTGCCTCAGTCACAATAGATAGCTTTAGGACAAGCTTCGTTTCCACGCAATTAAAGCCACTGCCACTGTCTGTCCCATCCAGGCGGGCCGACAGACAGACCACCTATCTGGTGGACGGACGTAGAATGAAAGAAGTCACTTACCGAACCCTTGGCTGTGCTACATCGCTTGAAATTGGCTACGAGCTTCTCATGCGTATCTGTCGGCAGTACAAGTCGATCTTCCATATAATGGCTGCCAAAATTTGATAAATCTAACCCCGGGCCCTGGTGCCCAGATCCTCTGTCAGATGCGGGCTGACAGGCAAGAGTTATTGGCCGAACTAGGTAAAAACTACCCGTCCCCTTAATAGACAGCTGAGGGCCTGTGCGACACAAGCACACACCACCACAGGCATCGAGACCTCCAGTGGCGTACCGCAGACACCCCATTGTACGGTGCTGATGACCGAGTCCACACACGGCAACAGAAAGAGTAAGCTAAGTGGACAATTTGGCAGATATGCCCTCGGCATGTTTTTCGGCCAATACCTGTGACTAGGACAGCAGTTTAGAGCCCTTTGTCGGGAAAATACCACCAGATATTCTTAACTCCTGTCAGATGAGTACTTCGACCGATTCGTGCGGGCTATTACGGGTCCATTACTTTAGGCGTACCAACGGCAGCAGTGGAGGTTCCACAATCTCCAAATATTTGGATAACAAGTAGGCTTTGCTGGGCAAATTACAGAAGAGGTTTCATGGTACAAGGTTTATTTTGGACAAAAATACAGATATTAGCAATAAACCACATCCAAAACACGTCTATACGGAACCTGCAGGCATCACTCATCCTATTGTCGCAGCCCATTAGCACGAACACGGCTGACTGGGGAATCAGTAGGAACTGGCTTACAGGATACAGGACCCGAGGCAGAAAACGAAACCTTCACCGGCTGTCGTAATTATCAATCCATGCTCGGGATCTTGACCGCAGACCCGGCAATGGCAACCGTCTGGTTTAGGTTATTTCATTACAAAAGGACGTGGAAGCGGCCCAGACGAGGTGGAAAACTTACGCAGCCACCCCGCAGGTGATTACCTATGCAGTTGACTTTCGAGTAGATACAATCGAAACCTATAGGTTTTCATCCGTGTTTATCCGCAAACCGTTCAAAAGATGACGGTATAACACAAAAATCTACCTTGCGCATTGCACCAACGGACATTATCCAGCGTCAGAGACAGATAAATCAGGTCCAGAAGATTTTGATGCGTTGGAAATAACGGCAGGGTAAGGCGAAGCGTAAAATAATTCCCCT